GCAGAGGGGCAGGGCCAGAGGGGCAGGGGCAGAGGGGCAGGGGCAGAGGGGCAGGGGCAGAGGGGCAGGGGCAGAGGGGCAGGGGCAGAGGGGCAGGGGCAGAGGGGCAGGGGCAGAGGGGCAGGGGCAGAGGGGCAGGGGCAGAGGGGCAGGGGCAGAGGGGCAGGGCCAGAGGGGCAGGGGCAGAGGGGCAGGGGCAGAGGGGTAGGGGTCGGAACGACTGTTAGGCAGGGCTCGGCACGTCCGCCCTCCCGCCCGCCCTCCTGCCCCCCCGCAAACCAGTACCGGGCTGCTCTGCTGCCGCACCCCCACGCCGGCACCACGAAACCCTCATGCCCACGTAGCTGCGGCCATATTGGGGAATTTTACTATAACCCATAGTATAGGCTATCCAACATTTTACATGCCCGGTGAGTAAACGGCTACATGTACCCTCAGCGCCCAAGGGAGACATGAGAAACAGCTCCCCCGCGGTACTCCTAGATGGGTCCTAGAGTATCCGAATGTACAGGCTTGCAAATTACAGCAGCTATGTTGTCCTGCCTGGCTGCTTGCGCTACCGGATGGGTCGAGGGCTTATCGCGTGAAGTCGCTTCTTTTCTGCGCATGAGTAAATTGTTGTTAAGCTTGGAAGGGCTGACGCGGTCAGGCGGGCTAGGGTGCTGGGGCCTCGCGCGCTGGGGCCTTCGGAGGCCGAGGGAACACATCGCCGCATTGGAATATGCGATGCGCGGGCGGTTGCAGTCGGTTGAAGTGTCGGTTGGATCGCCTGTCAAGGATAACGGTACCGTAAGTGCGCTGACTCTCCCGATATTTCTTAAGCCAGCCCCGCTCCGGAAAGAATAGTCATCAGCAGCTCGTTAGCTCGGTGTTCCAGGTCTCTAATTTCGTTCTGCGGAGACTCTCAACTGAGTTCCACAGCTGCGCGGTTGCTGCTCTTTTCAGTTCCGGGGGCTGCTCGGTGCAGCAGAGGCACCTCATCCATAGGCCCAAGAGGCTGAGCAGCGAGCAGCGTACATTGATTTTCCCAACCCAACCGAACACAGCATTTCTGTCGAGGGGTGACGGAGAGAGGGGTGTCCGCAGCTCCGAGGGCAGAGGGCAGCGTGTGGGCAGTGGTGAAAGGTAACCTGCCCCGCCGCCGGGTACTTCAGCATCGCAGGGTGCGCAGGGATATTAGGGCTGTCTTTGGGAGACACGAGAGCTATGTCAAAGACTCGGCACCACTGCCGCGGCGGCGGCAGCGGCGGAGGGGTAATGTACGGGACTGCTGCCGGCGGCCGTACGGCACTGTTAGTGGCGCTAATCGCGCTGACGCTGGCGGCGTGGGGGCCCCGTGGTAAGTGGCTGGGTGTTTGCGCAATGTGCATGTGTCCGCCCTGCCCTGCCGTTGCCCCTGCCCTGGGTGCTGTACTGCCTGCCCGTCTTGATAGCCCGATGAGGGGCCGTGTCCGGCACCTCCGCCCTCCTGGAGTGACGCCCACCTCCCCCCCCCGCCGCAACAGGCGCCCTGGCGGCGTGCGAAGACTCCTGTGACAAGCTGCCCGAGGAGCCCGTGTGCGACAAGTACGACAACTGGTACAGAACCAGTTGCCATGCACAGGTACGGGCGGGAGGAATGTACGGCATGTGGTCGTCGTACGAGTTGCGCCC